CAAAATGGGAAAAGCTGTTCTTCTCCGCCAACAACTTACTGCACTGCTTTCCTAGAGAGTAAGCCAGGTCCAGGCAGCATCATTGCCACCCTGTTCTGCTGGCGCGCCTCTCCAAGCGTGAGCCTTGCCTAGCTTCATGCCTGCTGCAGTATGAGAGACGAAGTTTGTCCTCTTTGCCTCCAATCACTCTGGCTGCATCTTCCCCAGGACATATTTGTTTATTCTTTTGGGACTCCATGGGATATCCAGTATTCTTCTCCACAACCAAATGGATTGACACAGTGACTATAGCGAGTTTCAAGTATATCAGAGATGATGAGGATGGCACAGGCTAAGAAAGGACTCCAATGTGTTGTGTATAGTGTTGCTATGAGTTGTACTTGACTCGACGGCATCTAACAGCAACAAAAGAGCGTCCTCACAATCTCCACTACGCTCAAGTCTATGATTGTAGTTACTGTATTTATCTATCTCATTGATGCAGCACGCAGGAGCAGTAACTTTGTAAATTATTACATAACTTGGGAGGGACTGGAGAGCATTATGCTGAGTGAACTAACTCAGTCCCACAAGGATAAATATTGTATAAAACCGTTACTGTAGAATAAATATAAGGATCCAGGAGGGGTGAGAAAGGCAGCAAGCAGAGGGATGTGGATGTACAGGGGGAAGAGGGGATTAATTATTGGGTTGTAAAATTTTATGGATGTGGGAAATTTAAAGAATTTGTTCAAATTTGTATTGGAAGACAAAGGTTCTCACCACTGGGCCAATTGGGAGCATCAGGATGGATGGTGAAGAGATTGAGATTGTTCACAGCTTTAGTTTGCTTGTCTCTATAGTCAACACTCTTGGCACCAGCAGCCAGGAAATTAAAAGACGTATTGCCATAGGAAAGCCTGCTGTTAGGGACCTCTCCAAAGTACTGAAGAGCAATGGTGTCTCTCTGGAGACTAAGGTGTGTCTGATACAGGCCATAGTCTTTGCAATCACTTGTTATGCATCAGAGAGTTGGACAATGACTAAGGAGGATAGAAGGAGAATTGACGCCTTTGAGCTGTGGTGCTGGAGAAGAGTATTGAGGGTGCCATGGACTGCTAGGAAAATAAACAGATTCATCCTGGAAAGGGTTAAACCAGGCTGCTCCTTGGAGGCAAGGATTCTGAGGCTCCGTCTAACATACTTTGGACATGTTGTAAAGAGGGACCGGTCCTTGGAGAAGGACACCATGCTTGGGAGGGTAGAGGGACAGCGCAGGAGGGGAAGGCCCTCTATGAGGTGGACTGATTCAGTGACTGGGGTAATTGGGATGGGTGTATCAGAGATGGTGTGATTGGCACAGGACAGAGCAGAGTTTAGGGCTATTGTATATATGGTCACTATGAGTCACAGGCGACTTGACTGTATATAACAGCAACAACAACAAGGTAAATGTAAGTTTTGCTAATGGATGACACTGTTGGGAGGATCGTGGCTTCAGGGCTGTGGCTCCTGCCTCCTCCTTCTGCCCTCTCCTTAACCATGACACCCGCTTTGTGATTTCAAACATTGTGATGCTTGCCTGAGACAGTATGCTTATATCCAGCGTGCTTGCCCAGCAAGCTGGATTGCCTTAAGCAGCAATGCAGTTCAGAGTAATGGAGAGCTTTCTCTCATATCTGAACAGCCATTCTGAACAGCTGCTGTGAAAAGTGAAAAGAAACATAACAAAACCTCATTGGTAACATTAGTCATCCTCTTTCCTATATTCTGCCTACCCTTGACACACCAGAGAACTTCCAGAGGGTTCCTCCCTGTGACAGACAGCTAACTCTACTGTCCCAATCTACTCACAGCCTCCTTATGCAGCAGAAGCAGTATTGTTTTAAAACAGGTGGCCCATTCTTTATTTGTCCTTAACCATCAACTACAGCTATCTGAAAAGAATCTTAGGTACTTAGCTAGATGGCTTTACTTTCTTAGCATACTTGTCTACATTTAAAAGAAAATCAGAGAGCATTATGCTAAGTGAACTAACTCAGTTTCATAAGGACAAATACTGTAAAAGACCATTATTGTAGAATGAGTTCAAGGATCCAAGGTGGGGAGAGCTTAATCATGTTGTTGTTATGTGTCATCAAGTCGCTTGCGACTCATAGCGACCCTATATACAACAGCCCTAAACTCTTCTCTGTCCTGTGCCAATCACACCATCTCCGATACACCCATCCCAATTACCCCAGTCACTGAATCAATCCACCTCATAGAGGGCCTTCCTCTCTGCGCTGTCCCTCCACCCTCCCAAGCATGATGTCCCTCTCCAAGGACCAGTCTCTCCTCACAACATGTCCAAAGTATGTTAGACGGAGCCTCAGAATTCTTGCTTCCAAGGAGCCACCCAGTTTAACCCTTTCCAGGACGAATCTGTTTGTTTTCCTAGCAGTCCATGGTATTCTCAATACTCTTAGGGCAACACAATTTGATGGGTAGAGGGAGGGATGGGTAAATGAAAGGGAAAGATCTGGTGTGAAAAGCAATGTATACGAATTTTATAAATTTTGTATGTAAACCACTATAATTTTTTTTAAAGTCAGATTTCTAAAAGACAAACTGCAAACATGAGTGTGTGGTGACCAGGTATTTGTCTTTACTAAAAATTCCACTATGTGCCTAGCACCATGTCAGCAATTTGAAGGAGAATGTTGTTAGATGCTATTGAACTGACCTCAACTTACAGTGACTCTATGAAAACAGAAGAGAAGCAGAGACTTGAAAAGCATCATTACCGTCAATTAACCTAAAATATTATCTAAATATGACTGAATATATGAAACAAAGTCAAAATTAATAGAACATGCAATATAGACTAGTTCTGAATTTGTCATTTAGACTAAATTTTGTATAAAGGATGGTGATAAAAGATGATAAATGTATACAAGGCATAGTGCAGTAGCTAAGCTTTGATCATGCTTTAGAGGACTAATTTGAAGGCAGGGGAATAAGAGCACTGATTTTGAGAATTTATTCTAGATTATGCTGTTCCCAAACACACAAATTGAGATTCTAGGGTTACTGGCATTATTTTTTAAAGTGAAGTCAAGAGAGATGGGAAGAGAGTGTTGGAAAACTATCACATATGAACAGAGACGAAGAAACACCACTGCAGAGCAAGACAACCTATGGAGACAATTCAACTCTGCCTTTAACGTGAAAATTCTTTACATTGTCAGAGTAAATAGTAGGCATTTTCTTTTTTCAGAAGGGTATGAGATGTTACTAAAGCCTTCTTTCTCCATTTCTCACATCTCTTAGGCAAAAGTAGACAGCTCTCATTTAGCTACAGGAGTTTATAGCGTGTGCCCCTTTCTTACATACAAGTGTCCTTCTCCCCTTTCCCTAGAAGATCATTCAGAGCTCCCAGAGATGTACTTAACCATCTAATTAATTACTGGACCTCTGTGTAAATTGCTGTCAAGATTAAGATGATCATTTTACCACATACTCAGCCTGCTAAGCATTTACAGTTTAACGAATCTGACAAAGCCATTTGTACACCCCTATAACATATAAATGAAGGTGCACTAAAGCTACGACAAGTCTACACTAATAGCCTTAAAATAATTTGCTAACTACAGACAGTTCCCTAAGCAATTACAAGATGTTCCATGTTAATTTAAAAGGGGATTCTAAGCAAGGCATTTCAAACCTAATAAGACACCATTAACTGAGGGGAGACAGGGGGGGAATGAGAAAGAGAAAACCCTAAGGCTTGAACTAGTAGAAATGATTCTCAGAGCTACTGACCCTTGCAAGAGCCATGGTTCTGTTGGATTGCTAGACACAAAGCAGATTTCTAATCGAAGGTGATTATCTAGTTACTACATCTCAGATTGCATGTATTTCTTGTACTGATTCACATCAAGACCAAGTATATGGAGCACTTATCAATGTGAAAGCCACAGAAACAACTGAACCCATCTACAACTGCCTCCCGTGAGCAAGAACGTAGTCCGTATACTGTGAGACACTGCATGATCATACTACGTGATTCTCTAGTGACGGCAGCCTGCTGACTGGTATTATAGGGCATCATGAGGTCAGTCAACTGGGAATACATTTTCCCAAGAGGTCACAGAAGAATGTATGGCTTGTTCGAAGCCTTTCTGATGTGTGGATGTCCACACTCACGTGAGTAATTCCACAGATACACACATCGATACAGATACCACTGATACGTGATGAAGAAGAGCAACATACAGAAAAAACACTGAAAGAGAAATTCCTAAAATCACAAACTAAAACTTCATAAACCTGATTGAGAGGTAGGTACATCAACCACAGTGGAGAACTTGGTTCAGGCAAAGTAATCAAGAGAAAACAAATGCACAGATTTGGCACAGTGCAAACAGGCCTCTGTGAGATAGATTTCCCTTAGTTAGGTCAATTAAGATTAACAAACAAGCCATCAAAAAGTCCCACAGTAGACCAAAGATAATTTGGCAAGGCAACACATGAAAACAAGAGTCGCATTCACTGAGTCATTTATTGAACAAATTGGAATGAGATTCCTTATTAACACCTGAGTTGTCACCATTAATTATCAATCAAGATGTATACAAAGAGCATACAAAGGCCACAGGAAACTGGCTATCTTACAGGTTTCATGGAGAACGAAAGGTCGTGCACAGGAAAAGAGGAGCGAACCTTCTCACATATTAATTCCTTTTAAACATACTACACACACAAGAATAGACCTGTGTTTATGGGGTAGTTGTTTTGCTTCATTCTCTCTTTCAACTAAGATAAGTGAAACAGCTCTCAAATTGGGAACACAGGTTTGAAATTTTCACTTAGTGCAGTGTTTTCATCTTAAATAAGAAATTACAGTCAAATATGTAACAAAGCAGCATTCACAGCATAAGACTAACAGCAATTTATGTGCTGATATCAGGAATTGTCTTCCAGTTTCTCATGTTGTCCTTCCATAAAATTTATCATTACTTAACAAACATCCACCTTACCTCCAGGGTCATATTCACAGAACTAACAGCCACTTTGATTTCTCCGTCTGTCAGTTCCTTTAGATCCTTAAGCATTGTCTGCTCAATACTTAAACCTGTAAACACAGACAAGGGAGAAAAAGTATGTTTTACGTGAGGAACATTTTTTTGTTACATCATGTGATTGTTGAAAAAATTCTCTTTTGTATACATTTATGTAATTTTAAAAATACATGAGGTGAAAACTACATTATTGACATTTTATAAATTAGAATCCCAGAAGAAATTAGAACCAACTTCCTGTGACTCAAAAGAAGACTGTGTATTTCCTCGTGGAATGCCAGCTGACTGTCAGTAGATGGGCTAGTTTCTAGGTTCTTGATTCTGTTTCATTGAACCATATGTCTGTCATTGTACCAGCACCATGTTGTTTTATTACTGCTGTATTTTGAGATCAGAGTGCTATAACTCCTACTTCATTTTTGTTTTTCAGAAGTGCTTTACTTATTCAAAATCTCTTTCCTTTCCAAATAAACTTGCCAATTGCCTTTTTTCTATCTTTTTGAAAAATGAATGTGGTATCTATATTGAGATTGTACTAAACATGTAGATTGCATTTGGGATTATTTTCATTTTCACTATATTGAGTCTTCCTATGAAGAAATGTTCCCATAATCAGGGAACTTTTTTTTTTCATTTAGTTAGATATTTTATTGTTTCTCACAGCAGTGTTTGTAGTATTTCCTATAAAATCTTTTGTATCTCTAGTTAGGCTTCTTTTCTTTCTTAGTTTCATCCTTTGTGTTTTCTTGGTTACTGTAGAGAAATCCCACTGATTTTATACAGTGCTCTTTCAGCCTGTTACTCTACTAACTTGGTCTACTAGGTCTAATAGTGTTTTGGTTGTGTCTGTGAGGTTTTTTGTGTATATGAGGATCATATTGTCTGCATATAGAGACAATTTTACCACCTCTTGCCATCTGGATGCCTCTTATTTCCTTCTCTTGTTATATTGCCCCAGCAAGCACTTCTAATACAACATTGAATAGGAATGCTAAAAGTAAACATCCTTGTCTGGTCCCTGTTCACAAAAGGAATGCCTTTAGTCTTTCTCCACTGAGATGTTGCCCCTTGATTTTGCATATATATTTTACACTATGTCAAGAAAATTCCCTTCTATTCCTATTTTGTTGAGTGTTTTAATCAGGAAAGGGTGTTGGATTTTATCTTTCTGTGTCAGTTGATAGGATCACGTGGTTCTTGTTCTTTGCTTTGTTAATATGATGAATCACAGTAATTGTTTTTCTTATGTTGAACCATCTGTGCATATCTGTTATGAATACCAATGGAATAGAATTGAGACCCCAGAAATTAAACCATCTACCTACAGTCAATTGGCATTCAACAAGGAACTAAAACCTATCCAATGAGCAAATGACAATCTCTTCAACAAATAATGCTGGCGAAACTGGGCTTCCGCTGTAGAAAGCTGAAACAGGATCCACATCTCACATTATAAACAAAAGTCAACTCAAGATGGCTCAGAGACCTAAGGATAAAGCCTCATATCATAAAGATCATAAGAGACAAAATGGAACCAAACTTTGAAGCCTTAGCCTACGTTATGAAAAGGCTGTTAATACAGCCAGAAATGTAAAACCAGGAAAGGATAAAATTGGGAAAATAGGGCCTTTTAAAAATTAAGTCTCTTTTAAAAATTAAACATCCAAAACTTTCCTCAGTAGGATGAAAAGAAAATCTGTTGACTGGGAAAAGCATTTGGAGATGACATCTCAGACAAAAGCCTCATAACGAAATTTTACAAAATACTACAGGGTCTCCACAAGGAAAAGATTGATAACTCAATCACAAAATGGGCAAAAAACATGGGAAGATTTTTCACAAAAGAAGACATACAGATGGTCAACAAAAACACAAAGAAATGCTGAAAATCACTAATAAGCAGAGAGATGCAAATCAAATCCACAATGAGATACCCGCTCATCCCAGTAGCAGTGGCAAAGTTTAACAGGACAGCAAGCAATAATTGTTGGAGAGGCTGTAGAGAGACTGGAAGTTTCACACACTGCTGGTGAAATAGTAAAATGCTACAACCACTCCAAAAGGTAGTTTGGTGTTTCCTCAAAAAGCTGAACATAGAAATACCATATGACCCAGCTATTCTACTGCAAGGAAAATAGAACTGAGACACAAATGGAGATTTGTACATCTATGTTAATAGTAGCATTAGTTACAATAGCAAAAAAATGGAAACCGTCTAAATTCCCATCAACAAATGAATGGATTGATAAATCTATCAGAATAGGATACTATGCAGCACTCAAAAACAATGATTTTGTAAAATACTACCTAACATAGGAGGGTGTAGAGAGCATTATGTTGAGCGAACGATCTCAGTTTCTTAAGGAAAAATACTAAGACCACTACTGTAAAAATAGGAGTATAACTACTAAGATGTGCAAAAAAGGGGGAAGAACTAGGGGGACAGACAGTGAGGATAGGAGGAAATCATGGCAGGGGATAATCTGGTGGGTAGAGCATTAGGGTGAAGGAATTAAGAAAGATCTAATGTGGATCTGAAAAGATGGAGTAACCATGGACATAGATCAAAGATGATTAATTTTATAAAACACAAGTATAGGAATGATCGTTTGAAATATAATGTGAATGAAAGACTATGTGAAATACAATTTACATGAATGAAACACAATGTGAACAAATCTTGTGTGCAAATCAATTGTTGTTGTTATGTGCCATTGAGACACCTGTGACTCATAGTAACCCTATGTACAACAGCCTAAACCCTGCTCTATCCTGTGCCAATCTCACCGTCTCTGACACACATACCCCAATTACCCCAGTCACTGAATCAATCTTCTTCATAGAGGGTCTTCCTCTCCTGTGCTGTCTCTTGACCCTCCCAAGCATGACACCCCTCTCCAAGGATTGGTATCCCCTTGCAACATGTCCAAATGATGTCAAACTAACCTTCCGAATCCTTGCCTCCAAGGAACAGCCTGTTTATCCCTCTCTAGGATGAACCTGTTTGCTTTCTTTGCAGTCCATGGCATATTCAATACTCTTCTTCAACATCACAGTTCAAAGACATCAATTCTCCTCTATCATCCCTAGTCATTGTCCAGCTCACTGACATATAGTGATTACAAAGACCAAGGCCTGTATCAGGCGCACCTTAGTCTGAAGAGTGACATAATTGCTATTCAGTATTAACAGCAGACTTTCCCATCACAATACATCTTTTAATTTCCTGGCTGCTGATATCAAGAGTGGTGATTGTGGAGCCAAGCAAACTAAAGCTGTCAACAATCTCAAGCACCAATATAAAATTTACACACACAAAAAAGAAGATGGTGGCTGTTTAATGGCAGGGTACATAAAGAGATGTGGAAGGATGGAAGAACAAAGAGAGGTGAAGCATCAGAGGTCAGTAAGGGGCAGTAGAAGCAATCAGGTCAGGGCTGTGGGAGAAGAGTTGCCATTGACTTAGCTCCACAGTCAGAAGAAAGTAGGGAAGAAATATTACCACCGCTCTTCTTCCTTCCGCATCTCCTCACGTCTCCATCACATAACTTTTTTTCTATCTCGTCCCACTGCTCAAACCCAACCAGAGGCCAAAGTAAAGGGATCTCAGCAGATCAGCTTGAGAAGAGTAACCATGTCAATAGTAAAGTAATACAAAGAAAAGCCAAAATACTTTTTTCAGTAGTATCTAAGTGAGCCTCTATGCTTTTAGTGACCTTTATTTAAAATAGTCTTTATTAATGCAACTGATAAAATGGTCTTAATTATGTAAGATACCTTTGTAATGATTTCTGACAAAGAAGTGGTTGATTTTCTTAAATATTGGAATAAACAATCTGAATGGATAAATTAGTCACACCATCTACTTGATGAGTGAGCTTTAGTAAAATCTATTAGTGAAAAACACAAGAGGAATGGACACGGCATTTAATTTTCATCCTATGTTAACTGCCTCTGATTAGGTGTAATTCTCCCCTTTGAGGAGAATCACCACAAGGTCCAGGAATGCGCACATGTCTTTCCTAAAGAGATACATGCTAAGATGTCAGAGTTGACATCATGTCCTATCAACGCAGAACAGCCTGTCAATCAGAGCAGCATGGGGAAGCAGACAGCACTAAAACATTTTTTTCAGCACGAAGATTGAAAGACCATGACCTGTCATTCAGCAGCACAAACTGATTTGCAGAATATATTGTGATATCAGAAGCTTCTTCGAGCTTTGAAAATCAATTACAAAGTGCTTACTGTTCTGCAGTGACCTATGCAGGTGTCTCTGCAACAGAAGTGAAGGAAGGCTTAGTGGTCCACCCACATTCTCTCGGATTTTTTCAGAGAACCCCAGCCAGCCATCACCAACTCTAACATCTCCTTTCCTGAAGGCTTCCCCTGGCCCCCAAAGCCCAAAGCCCTTCACAGAAGGAGAGCTGAGAGTGCTAGGGAACTATGATGACACTCCCGGGAAGAAGTCCTTGTGAGTACCTGGGTAGGAAAAATGGTTCCTTGCTCATCTACTAACCAAAAGGTTTGAATCCACCCAAAGACAGATTTAAAGAACAGTCTGGTGATCTAATTTCAAAAGGCCATGAACAGAGTACAAACAATCCTACTCTGATACACATGGGGTCTCCACGAGTTGTAACTGACATCTGTTTTGATAGCAGTGTTCAATATTGAGTGGGTTCTGGTAAATGTTTAACAACCATTTGTCCTAAATTCATGCAAAACAAATCCTGCTGTGTAGTAGTTGTCAATTTCTGTGGGCAAATACTCCCACTGTAGCTGATCTCAAGCTACAGATGGGCAATCAAGGGACTCACCAATTTCCTGAACAGTAACACTCAGGTCCCACAAGCCACAACCCTCCTCAGATGGGATAAGTCAGAAGTGAAATTCTCCACCTTCTAGGATCATTTCCCAAATAAACTACATTCACTAAAGTCTATGCCTAAGCCTCTGGCTAGGGGGAATTCCAAACTAAGGGAGAAAACCATAGAATTCAGTGTTTGGAAAAATAGCTCACTTGTCCAGGTTTAAATGCCAGCCTGGTCACTTACCACTTGGGTTTATGTGACCTAAGGAAAGCAAAGAAATTTTTCTGTGCCTCAGTGTTTTCACTGAGGAAATTAGAAACAGTAATAGTATCTGACTCTCAGGTTGTCAGAATTCAAAGGAGCTCTAGTGGCCTGGTTGTAAGGAGTTGTACAACCAACTCAAAAGCATGTTTTTCAAATCCACCAGTCCTTGCAAGTGAAAAAGATGAGAAATCTTTGCTCATGTGATTTAGAGCCTGTGAATCCCTCTGGAGAATCAGCTACTCATAGGTTCGAACTCAGTGGAACATAACAACAGCAACAACAATAATCCATACAATAGAGAGTAGAAGAAAGTGGTTCAATGATTCCTGTAAGAGTCAGAATTTGACAGAGCTATCTTTTTTACTCTTGCTGAAAGTGAGGGGGACTTGAAGCATTTGTTGCTGAAAATCAAGGAATGCTACTTTCAGTACTGATTGCACCTCAATGTCAAGAAAATAAAGATTCCTACCACCAGACCAATAGGCAGTGTCATAATAGATAGAGAGGAGACTGAAATGGTCAACAGTTTTATTTTTCTTGGATCTACAATTAACACCCTTGGTACCAGTAGTCAGGAAATAAGGAGATGCACTGTACTGGAATAATAACAAAGTTAAGGGCCTCTCCAAATTATTGAAGAGTAATAATGTCAGTTTGGGGACTAAGGTGCATCTGACTCAGGCCATAGTGTTTTCTTGCTGTGTAACTGAGAGTTGGACAATGAATACGGATGACAGGAAAAGAATTGCCTTTGAGCTGTGGTGTCAAAGAGCACTGAGCATCCCCTAGATGGCTAAGAGAATAAAGAGCTATGTCTTGGAGATGGTGGGTGCAGCCAGAGTGCTCTTTGGAGGCAAGAATTATGAGGTTTTGCCTCATATACTTTAGACATGTTGCTAGGAAGGGCTATTGTTTAGAGAAGGACATGAAGTTGGGAAGGGTGGAGGTCAGTAAAGGAGAGGAAGACCCTTAAGTAGGTGGACTGACACGGTGACTGCTGCAATGGGCTCTTGTGTTTCAAGAAGTGTGTGGATGGTGCACAATAGAACAGAATTCAGATATTTTGTTCATGTGGTCATTGAGTCGTACTCTATTCAATGGCATCTAACAACAACATCTTTTTTACTGTGGATCACAAATTCTCCACTTTTGTAGGGTAGGGAACAACCTTACCACTTCCCTATTGCTTGCTTAAGTAAAAAATATTAGTGCTTTCTTTTTCTGACATATTTTTACCTTAAATTCATCACTCGTTGTCATCAAGTCAGAATCAACTGAAAGCTGATCCACCAATAGGGTTTCTGAGGTTGTAAATCACATGGGAGGACATTGCCTATCACTTCCCAAAGATCAGGTGGCAGATTCAAACAGCCAGATAGAAGCTTACCTTTGAATTAGCAGCACAACTCAATATGCTATGCCACTGTTGTTGTTGAGTATCGTTGCGTCAGAATTGACTCATAGCTGGCCCTCTGGAGGGTTTTTAGAAGCAGTAATCACATGGGAGGAGATTGCTCATCCTTCTCCCATGGAGCAGCTTGTGGGTGGATTGAAGTGTGTGCCCTTGGGACTGTAATATAGCTTCTTACCACTAGGCAACCAGAGCTCCCTAGAGATTTCTTACACAACTTCTGGCCTTCACAGTTTTTATTGTCTATATTAAGCATCTAACTACATTATGCAGATGATACAGCCTTGCTTGCTAAACTGAGGGGACTTGAAGCATTTGCTGCAGAAGATCAAGGCCTGCAGCCAGCCTTTAATATGCATTGAAGCTCAATATCAAGAAAACAAAGTTTCTCACCACTGGACGATTTGGAGAAGAGATTGAGATTGTTGATCATTTTAGTTTGCTAGGTTCCATAATCAACACTCTTGGGACCATAAGTCAAGAGATTAAAAGATGAATTACATTAGGAAAATCTGTTGTCAGAAACCTTTCCAGAGTACTGAAGAGTAACAATGTCAGTCTAGAGTCTAAGGTGTGTCTGATCCAGACCATGGTCTTTCACAATTACTTGTTATGCATCAGGAATCTGGACAATGATCAAAGATGACAGGAAAATTGATGCCTTTGAGTTACAGTGCTGGAAAAGAGTATTGAACATACCATGGACTGCCAAGAGAGCTAACAGATGTGTCTTGGAGAGGGTGAAACCAAGCTGCTCCTTGAAGGCAAGGATTTTGAGGGTCCATCTCCTATACTTTACACATGTTGCAAGGAGTGACCAGTCCTTGTAGAAAAGCATCATGCTTGGAAGGGTAGAGAAACAGAGCAGGAGAAGAATATCCTGGATAAGATGGATTGACACAGTAACTGAGATAATGGGAGTGGATGTATCAGAGACAATGATATTGGCTCTAGAGAAAGCAGGGTTCAGAGCTATTGTGCATAAGGTTGTTATGAGTCGTAGCTGAGTCAATGGCACATAACAACAACAAGAAGGATCTAAGGGTTATTTATTGCGAAAACAATTGCTCCAGGAAATGTTTATAGACTTTACATCCCCTCTTTATTTATAAACTTCTTGATAAAGTTTTGACTTCCAGAATAATTGTATCGGTGTAGTTATGTCTTCCCTATTATTAACCTGTAAATTGATTTATGATATTCCATTGTATTTCATATTGCTCCTGCAACATTTTCAAGATAGATCTCTTCAGAACAGAAATTTCATGTAAGAGTGCATTTAGCGAGCACACTTTAAAAGAAAAGAAAAGAAGAATGAAAACGACAGTCACTGAATCCGGACTCTGACTCCTTGAGCAAGGCAGTTTTGAGGTCTCAGGGAAATTTTGGTGTTTTTTGGGCCCCACGTGGGGGTCAGCAGAGCGGACATGCCAGATGAACTGGAGGTCTGGCGGAAGGACTTTGTCAGCATTTGGGTGTGCTGGGTTGCTAAAACCCTGAAAGGTTGTGTCCTGCTCCCGGATTAAAACAAGCTTGGAAGGAAGAGTGGCATCCACTTCCATAATAGCTTGCCTCCGGAAACCCTATGAACCTGGCGAAAGGATGAAAGGCACCCAAGTATTGAGGACTCTCCTTCATAGGGTCACTATGAGTCACCTGCCGGTAGACGGCACTTAACAACAACAACAACAACAGCCATTGCTGACTTTGCCATGTAGATAAGCAGGATTATGCAAATAGGTGTGTAGCCTATCCAAAATGAGGTTGGGTAGTTTTACCAATCCACATGGAGATTGACTAGTATCACCAATGAACTGAGTGGATCCAGCAGGAGAATTAAAAGAAACCTCACTGCTACCAAAGAAGAAAAAGCAAGAGAATACAACTTGTCCTTGTCCTACAGGACCAGAGTAACAACCATAGCAGCCACAAAAGAGAACCAGAGATCTGACATGAGGTGGAGTGGACCTTGGAATCCCACCCCCCCATGGTCTGAACCAGAGCTAAGAGTCTTTGCCCAAATTTATTGGACAACTAAGGGGTGGAAGAGCCAATACTGGCAGGACTGGGAACTCTGCAACATTGGCCTAAAGCCATGGGACTCAAAGCTGAGGTGTCTGTGAGCACATTTCAGAAGCTGTCCTGACTGTATTCTGTTATTAACTTGGATGATAACATTTTTCACTTCCCCAGGATGGTTCTGTGTGGTCTGTGAGCTATCACATTGGGTTTGGAACCCAGAAAAGTAGTAAGATTGATGTTGAGATGAGTAGAGTTATGGGAGCATGAGAGACATGCCTGACTTCATGGAAATTGATTTGGTGTTGTTCATGCTATTGATAGGAATGGTTCCCCTTTGAAAGCTGGTAAAGGTCAGATATGACCATCATCATGTGGCTCTAATTCCTTTTTACAGCATCTCCCAAAGCACACCAATTGGGGAAGAATGAGGATGGGGAGAATCACTCACCTTGAGCACTAAACTGAGTCTCTTGCAAGACCCTGATGATGTCTTCTCTTGGGGGCAAATTGGGAAATTTCTCCTCGAGGGTGGAGAGGATCTCCTCCTGTTTCTCTGAGATATTCTCTGCCTCCATGGTCATACACTGGAAAAGGATGCTACCTGAAATATATAAAAAAGAATCACTTTCAACATTCCAGTCAAAACCAGGTCATAAGCCAGGAAAATCAGAGTTTTCTGATCTACTGGCTTGTGTTTTCTTCTTCCTGTTTCCTGCCTGAACCAAAATATCCTAGAGTATAACATTCAAGAAGATACTAATTTAAGGTTAAAAGTTCTACCATTACAATATAATGCTAATAATTATAATGTTTCCGAAGATAGAAACTGAAACCATCCTAATAAACACCACAATAAATATGCTATTATGAATTGAAAACACTGAATAACTTTGAAACTGTGTTACTGAATGTTTTTATGATTCTTGCAGTCCTCTTTTTTTCTCTTTTGTGCATTTGTCTGTAGAAGATTCTTTTTTCTATTCATGGGAACAGAGGGAGATGATTCTTAGAAAACACCTCTGGCACCATCTACCCAGCCTCAGAGCCCTAGTGCACATCTAGGCAAAGATGTTATTAATCAAGAAACGAAATGATTGCTTTTCCCCACTCACATAAACACACACATTCTGAAATATTTTGGTTTTAAATTATTTCAAAATGGAAGTGAAATGTAAGCTATTTTAAAATAAAGTCAATGTTATTGTCTCTAAGGAACCATTGTGAATATGTTATTCTCATTAATATTATTGGGGGGGGGGTTCTTGATGCCTAGGTAGAAAGAAGCACTGCTAACTCAAAGGCTGTGTGTCTCCAGTGAATCTTCTTCCATTACAGTTTACAGACTCAGAAACCAATGGAACACGAGTATGAATTGGAAACCACTCAAAGGCAGTGAGTTAGTCTTCATTTTATTGCTTTTAAATATAAGCATCCTTCTTTTAATTATGAAAAGATTCTATCACCCCATCTCCAGTAACTAAGAGATCTGTCAAGATGTTGAACTAAAGCCTATTCCTGACTTTTCCCAGAAACCATGGTCAGTATTGAGGAAATTTTCAACCATCTAGTTATGAGATTTATGAACTGGTTCTAAAACATCATGTTAGGTTATACAACAACTTGCAAATATGAATGATATCTCATAAGCCCCTGGAATATCAGCAGATATCCTTCTCTTGAAAGGAAAGAACAAACAACCTGCTATATTCTTTTCTCCCTACATCCAATATTCAGACTAACATGAAGTCACAAGGCAAAGAAGAAGTTAGGTTTCAGCTCTTCATTGAGTAAATTATGTATGATTGAACGCTCCAAAAATCTTTTGTTGCTGTTTTTGAGCTGATTCTGACTCATAGCTAGTTTTTAGGTCAGAGTAAAACTGCCTTATATGGTTTCCAAGGCAATAATCTTTATGGGAGTAGGCAGCCAGATCTCTCTCTCTCCTGTGGAGCAACTAGGAGGTTGTACTTTCAGTTAGCAGCCAAGCTCTCAACTTGTTGTTAGTTGCTATTGGACAATAGATTTGAAGCCTGCCCTATCCTGCACCAGCCTCATGATCATCCTCTGTCATGCTCAAGCCCATTGTTTATTGACTGTGTCAGTCCAACTTGTTGTGGGTTTTTCTCTCTTACTCCAATCCTTCAATTTTCCCAGCATGAGGTCTTTTTGAAGGACTCGTCCTGCTGACAATATGCCAAAGTATGTGAGGCAGAGTTTCACCATCCTTGTCTCTAAGGAGCAACCTGGTTGTAATTCCTCCAAGACAGACTTAGTGTTTGGTAATCCATGTGATATTCAGTATTCTTTGCCAACACCACAATTCAAAGACATCAATTCTTTGACCTTTGCTTATTCATTGTCCAGCTTTCAGATGCATAGGAAGCAACTGAAAATATGATGGCTTGGACTGTGTGTACTTTATTCTTTAAGCTGATATCCTTGTTATTCATCCTTGGAGAAATACTTGACAGCAGATTTTTCCCAGTGCAACATGTCTTTTGATTTTTTTTAAACTTATGTTACTATGATTACTGATTGTGGATGCAAGTAAAATAGAATTGCGGATAGCTTTAATTCTGCCCCCCGCCTCCTTTATCATAATGTTGCCTATTGGTCAGTGGTAAGAATTTTTGTTTACTTGATGTTGACATGTAATCTACATTGACAGCTGTAGTCTTTGACCTTCTGCAGCAAGTGTTTCAACTTCTCTTCACTTTTGGCAGGCAAAGTTGTATCATCTGCATAGTGTAGGCTGTTGAGGAGTCTTACTCAACATGACTTACCATTAATCAGTTCATCATCATCATCATCTCCCTAGCTTTTAGTGTGGCCTTGATAATAAGTCTAATCATGGAGGAGGGAAAAATGAAATAGAAATGAAGGAAGTAAAAAAGTAAAAGTGAGAAATGGAATAGTAGGTGAGGGGATACTATGATACATAATCTAGACACTTGACTTGAGATCAAGAATCCAAAGATTGATTCATCATTAAACATGCTAGTAGACCCTGGCCAAGTCATCTGGTCTTTCTGTTCCAATTTTCCACTGTTAAATCAGAAATAATATAGTCTTTTCACCTTCCAAGGTTATTATGAAGAACAAATAAATTCAATGTCTTCACAAAAAATTTAAAGTCAATATATTTATTCAGTCACCTTGTAGTCATTGTGTAATAAAAGATTCCATCATCCCGTTGCTAATAGTTATGATATCTGTCAAGGTAATTGATAAGTAAATATTAAATATCTGTATGTACCAGGGACTGTGTGCTAGATGGTAATGATACAAGATTTAAAAAGAAGTAATCATGTTCCTTGAAGCTCACAATAACTCTGGAAGTTACAGTAAGCACTTAAATTTCAATAGAAAAGGGTAGGAATTATCAATAGAGAAATTTCCTGAGTCTTAAGGTCATATTCAGCAGACAGAGAAAGTTTACTGGAGAGAGTTAACCTACACCAGACCCCTGATTAGGTAGTTCCTAGGGATTTGCACTGCTAACCCAAAGACCAAGCCTCTCTGGCAGTTATGAATAGCCCATTCTCCATGGGAGAAAGATGGGAAATTTCCTTTCATACTATTTGTAGCCTTGGAAACACACTAGATGGTCTGTTATGGGTTGGTTATGAGTAGATGGCAATAAGTTGCATCAAGTATGACTAGAAATTTGGATACAAATGTATGACACTTCTAGTATACTAGCTATCTGGACAAATATGAGACAAGAAGAAATTATGACCTAGATAGGTCATGTGCACTGATTTGGAAGAGAAATTGCTTGGTTGAAGAAATAGAAAATAAGCAAGGTTGCACAGTGTGTTTTTTAGGAAAGAAATGCATGAAAATTAGACTAGGGAGGTAAGCAGGGACTAGAATATGGAAGACCTTACAAACTGTCTTAAAGTTTGGCCTTTTTCATTTTAAAATAAACTAAATCATTATAAAAAACCTTTAATTAAGGAGCTAACAAGCTAAAATTTATATCTTGTAGAATTCACTTAAGTTATCATGTGATGAATGTATTGTAAAAAGTAAATTGCAAAGATGAGTGAAGAGACTGTTTTAGACGATAAAACGTCTGCATGCAGAAAGCATAAATAATCATTTAAGGATGGAATTTCAAATGCATCTTGTGATTTGACAATTTGACATAAAATTCAAGACCCACAGACACACACACAAGAATATGCAAAAAGCATCAGATGGTCACCCTGGCAAGAGGATTTGAAAAGAGAAGTCCTAGAGAGAAAGGAAGTACAGAAGTAAGTCCAGCTTCTGGTATTGCTTTTCCCCTCAAGATGTCTGCCAGTTCATAAATTGTTTACAAAGGTTAGAGAACCAGCAGATCTATCAATAAGTTCAAAGGACTTGGGAGACACAATTTGGACTTCAATACCCTCCATGGAAAAGATAGCTCAGGTTTTCAGAGAGGAACCTGGAGGGCTTCACTGTAGGTAAAAGTTTGAAAAACTACGATCTGTGAACTGTATTTGGCCCACTGCTTGTTTTTATAAATAAAATTTTATTAGAATACAATGATTACAACATTAATATTTGTATTGTCATTAGTTGGGTTTGTATTATAATGACAGAGTTCAATAGTTGTGACAGAAACCATATGGCTTGCAAAGCCTAACATATTTATCATCTGATGCTCCCTGGTGATCTAGTGAGTAGGACTTGGCATTCTCTATTTATCAAGGGACTCCTGGTGGCATAATCTAAGCTCTATGTAATAAGAGAGAGTTCTGTTGGCATAGTTGGTAGGGAGTTGTTCTACTAACTTACAGACCACACTTCTGGTGGTTCAAATGCACTATCAACTCCATGGAAGAGAGACGGGAAATCTTCTCCCATGTACAGTCTCAGAATTCATTCGAATGGAAGGTTTCATCCGTTCTGACTAAATGGCAATGAGTGTGTTTGCATTTTTTAATATAATAAGAAACTCTATCACTTATTATATGTAATAAGAGTTACTTCTGGAAAGGAAAGTAAGTGCGGAGAAAACATTTGAAAATACAATTTTTCAAAGTTAATAAAATGCATCCGAATAAAGACATTTCATGAGAGTTAAGTTGCAAAAAAGAAAATATTAAAAGCAGTTAGGGGGAGAAAGACATATTACTGTTAAAATATCTATAATAAAATTAAGAGCAAAAATTATAGAAGCCAAAAGACAAAATTACATCTTCAAACACTGCCAATCTAGAATTCTACACTGAGAGGGAAAAAAATTGAGAAATTAAAACAAAACAAATTAAAAAAAAAAAAAACCTCTGAGAAAACTTTGTAAACAGAGCACATACACTAAAAGGAATAAGTTGTTGTTGTTGTTGTTGTTGTTAGGCATCATCAAGTTGGAACTGACTCATAGCTGACCCTCCTGTGCATTTGGAGAAGCTGTAAATCACACAGGAGGAGGCTGCCCACCTTTCTCTCACAAAGCAGCTGATGGATTTGAACCATGTGCCTTTGTATTGGCAATGCAGCTCCTTACTACTGAGCTATCAGGACTTCCTTAAAGAAATAGATAAGGCAGGGGGAATTAATTTTACATGGACACAACAAAATTCAGGAAGGAAAGAAGAGCATTGAAGA